GAAGACATTTTGATTATTTCATTAACTCATACCATTTCTCTGCAGATATAACAATATCACTAGAAGATATTTTGATTAATTCATTAACTCTTACCATTTCTCCACAGATATAACAATATCACTAGAAGATATTTTGATTAATTCATTAACTCATACCATTTCTCTGCAAATATAACAATATCACTATTAGACATTTTGATTAATTCATGCCATTTCTCTGCAAATATAACAATATCACTAGAAGACATTTTGATTAATTCATGCCATTTCTCTGCAAATATAACAATATCACTAGAAGACATTTTGATTAATTCATTAACTCTTACTATTTCTCTACCAATATAACAAGATCACTAGAAGATATTTTGATTATTTCATGCCATTTCTCTGCAAATATAACAATATCACTAGAAGACATTTTGATTAATTCATGCCACTTTCTCTGCAAATATAACAATATCACTAGAAGATATTTTGATTAATTCATGCCATTTCTCTGCAAATATAACAATATCACTAGAAGACATTTTGATTAATTCATTAACTCTTACTATTTCTCTACCAATATAACAAGATCACTAGAGATATTTTGATTAATTCATTAACTCTTACCATTTCTCTACTAATATAACAAGATCACTAGAAGACATTTTCATTATTTCATGCCATTTTTCTGCAAATATAACAATATCACTAGAAGACATCTTGATTAAGTCATTAACTCTTACTATTTCTCTACCAATATAACAAGATCACTAGAGATATTTAGATTAATTCATGCCATTTCTCTGCAAATATAACAATATCACTAAAAGATATTTTGATTAATTCATTAACTCGTACCATTTCTCTGCAAATATAACAATATCACTAGAAGACATTTTGATTAATTCATGCCATTTCTCTGCAAATATAACAATATCACTAGAAGACATTTTGATTAATTCATGCCATTTCTCTGCAAATATAACAATATCACTAGAAGACATTTTGATTAATTCATGCCATTTCTCTGCAAATATAACAATATCACTAGAAGACATTTTGATTAATTCATGCCATTTCTCTGCAAATATAACAATATCACTAAAAGATATTTTGATTAATTCATTAACTCGTACCATTTCTCTGCAAATATGACAATATCACTAGAAGACCTTTTAGTTAATTCATGCCATTTCTCTGCAAATATAACAATATCACTTGAAGATATTTTGATTAATTCATTAACTCATATCATTTTTCTTCATATATAACAGGATCGCCAGAAGATATTTTGATTAATTCATTAACTCATACCATTTCTCTGCAGATACAACATTATCACTAGAAGATATTCTGATTAATTCATTAACTCTTACCATTTCTCTAGCAATATAACAAGATCACTAGAAGTCATTTTGATTACTTCATTAACTCATATCATTTATCTACAGAAATAACAGGATCGCTAGAAGATATTTTGATTAATTCATTAACTCTTACCATTTCTCTACCAATATAACAAGATCACCAGATGACATTTTGATTAACTCATTAACTCATACCATTTCTCTGCAAATATAACAATATCACTAGAAGACATTTTGATTAATTTATGCCACTTCTCCACAGATATAACAATATCACTGGAAGACATTTTGATTAATTCATTAACTCGTACCATTTCTCTACAGATATAACAATATCATATGAGACATTTTGATTAATTCATTAACTCATACCATTTCCCTACAAGTATAACAATATCACAAGAAGATATTTTGATTAATTCATTAACTCATACCATTTCTCTACAGATAAACAATATCACTTGAAGACATTTTGATTAATTCATTAACTCATACCATTTCCTACAGATATAACAATATCATTAGAAGACATTTTGATTAATTCATTAACTCATCTTTCTCTACAATATAACAATATCACTAGAAGACATTAAGATTATTTCATTAACTCATACCATTTCTCTGCAAATATAACAATATCACTAGAAGACATTTTGATTAATTCATTAACTCATACCATTTCTCTACAGATAAAACAATATCACTGAAGACATTTTGATTAATTCATTAACTCATACCATTTCTCTGCAGATATAACAATATCACTAGAAGACATTTTGATTAATTCATTAACTCATACCATTTCCTACCAGATATAACAATATCACTAGAAGACATTTTGATTATTCATTAACTCATACCATTTCTCTGCAATATAACAATATCACTAGAAGATATTTTGATTAATTCATGCCATTTCTCTGCAAATATAACAATATCACTCGAAGAAATTTTGATTAATTCATAACTCGTACCATTTCTCTACAGATATAACAATATCATATAAGATATTTTGATTAATTCATTAACTCATACCATTTCCTACAGATAAAACAATATCACTTGAAGACATTTTGATTAATTCATTAACTCATAGCATTTCCCTACCAGTATAACGCGTACACTAGAAGACATTTTGATTACTTCATTAACTCATACCATTTCTCTGCAGATATAACAATATCACTAGAAGACATTTTGATTACTTCATTAACTCGTCCCATTTCTCTACAAATATAACAATATCACTAGAAGTTTTGATTAATTCATTAACTCATACCGTTTCTCTCCAAATATAACAATATCACTAGAAGACATTTTGATTATTCATTAACTCACATCATTTCTCTACAGATATAACAATATAACTAGAAGACATTTTGATTAATTCATGCCACCTCTCTGCAAATATAACAATATCACTAGAAGATTTTTGATTAATTCATTAACTCATACCATTTCTCTACAGATATTACAATATCACTAGAAGACATTTTGGTTAATTCATTATCTCATTCCATTTGCTACCGATATAATTATATCATTAGAAGATATTTTGATTAATTCTTTAACTCATACCATTTCTCTACAGATATTACAATATCACTAAGAAGACATTTTGATTAATTCATTAACTCATTCATTTTCTACAGATATAACAATATCATTAGAAGATATTTTGATTAATTCTTAACTCATACCATTTCTCTACAGATATCCATGTATTGTCCTGGGGTACCTTACCTGCATGAATTGTTAATCATGATTGTATTCGTCTGAATATCATACATCCATGTATTGTAAATATCGGTCTGAGCATCATATATCCATGAATTGTGAATGACGATCTGAGTAACATGCATACATGAATTATGAATGACGGCCTAAGTATCATGCATCCATGAATTGTGAATAACGTGAATAACGGTCTGAGTATCATAAATCCATGAAATGTGAATCACGATTGCATATGTTTGAGTATCATAAATCCATGAAATGTGAATCACGATTGTATATGTCTGAGTATCATAAATCCATGAAATGTGAATCACGATTGTATATGTCTGAGTATCATAAATCCATGAAATGTGAATTTACAATTTAAATAATGGAATCAATTTCAAACCAATGTTAGAATATTAAAAACTTATAATCGCTGCAAATAGCATGAGTAACACATGAAATACATTTAGATATTTCATTTATGCAAATTTGTTCGCCTTGTGATATTCTTTTTCCGCACTAAATGCATCGATGACCAGTGATATGATATATTCGTGAATTGTTATTCACGTCGATGACCAGATATGATATATATATATATATATTTCGTGAATTATTCATGTATGTATGTATGATGAATCACGATTGCATATGTCTGAGTATCATGCACACATGAACTGTTAATCACAAGTGTATGTGTCCGAGTATCATGCATCCATGATTTGTGAATAACGGTCTGAGTATCATATATACATGAATTGCTAATCATGATTGTATATATCTGAGTATCATACATCTATGTTTTGTGAATCACGATTGCATATATGTCAATATCATACATACATGAATTGTTATTCACGAAGATATATGTATTCACGAATATATCATATCACTGGTCATCGATGCATTTAGTGCGGTAAATGAATATCACAAGGCGAACAAATTTGCATAAATGAAATATCTAAATGTATTTCATGTGTTACTCATGCTATTTGCAGCGATTATGAATTTTTGATATTCTAACATTGGTTTGAAATTGATCCATTATTTAAATTGTAACATTAAATTAAGTTTCAAAACGAGATTGTGATATATTAGTCTTTTCCTTTCTGAATTTATTCAGTTTTACAGCATCATTATTAAAATAAATATTTGATATTATAATTTAAAATTTCTATATTTCAATATTTAGTATTACAAACTGAATCATTATGCATATTAGAATTTGCTACTACTTGAAGTTTGTCTTGTTGACAACGCTAATCCTATTTGTGTAGAATCAATTCTTAAAATGTTTAAAGTGATCGTCCTTTTGTCTGGAAACATTTATTTTGTTTTGTTTAAGATACCTGAATGGAACAATGGGATTCTGTTCGGAAATCCTACAAGTTAGGAATGATATGGTAGTATTTCTGAATGACTTGATGTAGCCGTTTCTTTAAATTAGCCGATTGTACGTGAGAAAAACGCTAACGATAAAAGGACTACGCTATTACTGGAAAAAGTATCCAGAGTCAGCTAATTTCTGGAGCGAAATTTGCTATGCAGTATGATACTGATCGCAAAAGATGTGCTCGAAACAATAGAAAATGGCTGATCACTGAATAAAGTTTAAATATTGTACATATCTTTAGCATATTAATGAAATATTTGCCTCAGTTTTTTACTTCAATGACAGGAAAAACTATTTTGAAACTCACCCTTCCTGCCCAAGCATCAGGCACGGAGAGCATAACTTCCATCATTACTTCATAAAACTCATTTTTTGTCTCAAATGAAAGCTCTAATCAGATTTATGGGAACGATGACCTTTCAGATGAATGACGTAAAGTTTTACGACAAAATTATTTGAATTGGATACTCACTAAATCAACAATTTTATTTTAATAGTGATTAAAAAAAGAAAAGAAACACGAAGCAAGCCATTTAAACTTTTTGTGCGAATTCTTTAGCTCGTGCTCTTTCAATCCATGCTTTCTTTGCCTGTGAACGGGTTGACATAATACCACCTCCCCAATGCTTTCGGATCTCATCAGCGCGTTCATTATAATTCGCTATCACTGTGTTCTTCAGTTTCGATAAAGCTACCTTATCTTCACTACAAATTTCAATATCAAAGAACGATATCAAAATCTCCCAAAAGGCGTTTATAAAATTTATCCAAAGTTGTTACAATTGGATATGAAATATGTAACGAAGTGGAGATGCACATTTGGTTCCATGCTGGACGACAAGCGTATGGACTTATGATGAATTTTATCGAGCTGTAGGCATTTTAATAATTTTTTAAAACTTTGTGCACTGAGTTTTGTATTAGAATGGGAGAAATAGACTTTCACTTACGGATTTGTATCAACGATAGCAATACAAGAGGCAGTCTTTCGATGAACAACTTGGCCAAGACGTGCCTTCTCTTTGACAACACAATATGGTACCTGTAAAATTGTACAGAGAGTTTACTTTCGAGGTTTGCAAATAAATATATTACTAAAAAGAAAATGATGAAATTAGACCAATGAAGAAATTATTAAATGTCTGAAACTCACTTTGAATTTTACGGCAAAGAGCTGGAAGAAAAAGGACAATTTCAATAGGTTCAACATCATGCGCAATAGCAACCAACTGTGCCTTCTTTTGTTCTACGAGCTTCGTAACTTGGTTTACACCCGAACGAACCACTGACGGACGCTTTATTACTTCTTCACTTTTGTCTGCAGTCCGAGCTTCCGCTCGCGCCCTTAATCGCTCCGTCTTCTGGTGCTTCATTTCTGGACGATATTTATCTACCAAACGGAACAACTGCGTAGCTGCAAAATATTAATTGAGAGAAATCAGAAACCGAAAAGAATTTCTTTTATATCTTTTTTTTTTTGGTTCTGCTAAGCCCAGATCTCAGAAGCCAACCAGTTACTATAATATTTTTTTTTACAAAAAAAAAAAAAAAAATACAAAGAAATATTATAGCTATTACAACATTTTTTTAATTTTAAACACTATCAAATAAGATCTTTTCCTTCCTATCAGATCAAACCTGGACGATGATAAAAACAGATGCTCTGAAGTGAAAAGAAATGGTACAGTAGGAAAACAACATTTTTGACTTCAGAAATAGTAAACATCGAAAACACTAAATGTATGTATGTATGATGAATCACGATTGCATATGTCTGAGTATCATGCACACATGAACTGTTAATCACAAGTGTATGTGTTGGAGTATCATACATTCATGAATTGTGAATAACGGTCTGAGTATCATACCTACATCAATTGTTAATCACGATTGTGTATGTCTGAGTATCATACATCTATGTTTTGTGAATCACGATTGCATATATGTCAATATCATACATACATGAATTGTTATTCACGAAGATATATGTATTCACGAATATATCATATCACTGGTCATCGATGCATTTAGTGCGGTAAATGAATATCACAAGGCGAACAAATTTGCATAAATGAAATATCTAAATGTATTTCATGTGTTACTCATGCTATTTGCAGCGATTATGAATTTTTGATATTCTAACATTGGTTTGAAATTGATCCATTATTTAAATTGTAACATTAAATTAAGTTTCAAAACGAGATTGTGATATATTAGTCTTTTCCTTTCTGAATTTATTCAGTTTTACAGCATCATTATTAAAATAAATATTTGATATTATAATTTAAAATTTCTATATTTCAATATTTAGTATTACAAACTGAATCATTATGCATATTAGAATTTTGCTACTACTTGAAGTTTGTCTTGTTGACAACGCTAATCCTATTTGTGTAGAATCAATTCTTAAATGTTTAAAGTGATCGTCCTTTTGTCTGGAAACATTTATTTTGTTTTGTTTAAGATACCTGAATGGAACAATGGGATTCTGTTCGGAAATCCTACAAGTTAGGAATGATATGGTAGTATTTCTGAATGACTTGATGTAGCCGTTTCTTTAAATTAGCCGATTGTACGTGAGAAAAACGCTAACGATAAAAGGACTACGCTATTACTGGAAAAAGTATCCAGAGTCAGCTAATTTCTGGAGCGAAATTTGCTATGCAGTATGATACTGATCGCAAAAGATGTGCTCGAAACAATAGAAAATGGCTGATCACTGAATAAAGTTTAAATATTGTACATATCTTTAGCATATTAATGAAATATTTGCCTCAGTTTTTTACTTCAATGACAGGAAAAACTATTTTGAAACTCACCCCTTCCTGCCCACAAGCATCAGGCACGGAGAGCATAACTTCCATCATTACTTCATAAAACTCATTTTTTGTCTCAAATGAAAGCTCTAATCAGATTTATGGGAACGATGACCTTTCAGATGAATGACGTAAAGTTTTACGACAAAATTATTTGAATTGGATACTCACTAAATCAACAATTTTATTTTAATAGTGATTAAAAAAAGAAAAGAAACACGAAGCAAGCCATTTAAACTTTTTGTGCGAATTCTTTAGCTCGTGCTCTTTCAATCCATGCTTTCTTTGCCTGTGAACGGGTTGACATAATACCACCTCCCCAATGCTTTCGGATCTCATCAGCGCGTTCATTATAATTCGCTATCACTGTGTTCTTCAGTTTCGATAAAGCTACCTTATCTTCACTACAAATTTCAATATCAAAGAACGATATCAAAATCTCCCAAAAGGCGTTTATAAAATTTATCCAAAGTTGTTACAATTGGATATGAAATATGTAACGAAGTGGAGATGCACATTTGGTTCCATGCTGGACGACAAGCGTATGGACTTATGATGAATTTTATCGAGCTGTAGGCATTTTAATAATTTTTTAAAACTTTGTGCACTGAGTTTTGTATTAGAATGGGAGAAATAGACTTTCACTTACGGATTTGTATCAACGATAGCAATACAAGAGGCAGTCTTTCGATGAACAACTTGGCCAAGACGTGCCTTCTCTTTGACAACACAATATGGTACCTGTAAAATTGTACAGAGAGTTTACTTTCGAGGTTTGCAAATAAATATATTACTAAAAAGAAAATGATGAAATTAGACCAATGAAGAAATTATTAAATGTCTGAAACTCACTTTGAATTTACGGCAAAGAGCTGGAAGAAAAAGGACAATTTCAATAGGTTCAACATCATGCGCAATAGCAACCAACTGTGCCTTCTTTTGTTCTACGAGCTTCGTAACTTGGTTTACACCCGAACGAACCACTGACGGACGCTTTATTACTTCTTCACTTTTGTCTGCAGTCCGAGCTTCCGCTCGCGCCCTTAATCGCTCCGTCTTCTGGTGCTTCATTTCTGGACGATATTTATCTACCAAACGGAACAACTGCGTAGCTGCAAAATATTAATTGAGAGAAATCAGAAACCGAAAAGAATTTCTTTTATATCTTTTTTTTTTTTGGTTCTGCTAAGCCCAGATCTCAGAAGCCAACCAGTTACTATAATATTTTTTTTACAAAAAAAAAAAAAAAAAATACAAAGAAATATTATAGCTATTACAACATTTTTTTAATTTTAAACACTATCAAATAAGATCTTTTCCTTCCTATCAGATCAAACCTGGACGATGATAAAAACAGATGCTCTGAAGTGAAAAGAAATGGTACAGTAGGAAAACAACATTTTTGACTTCCAGAAATAGTAAACATCGAAAACACTAAACAGTGCAGAACTTACCTGTCTGTTTATCAAGTGTTGTACGGAACTGATTAATTGGTGGTGGAATTTTTAAGCGTTTCATCAAAACAGCTTTCTGACGTTGTAAACGAATATATTTGGGCCATCGCACAAATCTAGTTAGATCTCGTTTTGGCTGGATGTCCTGGCCTGAAAAAAGACAAGACCATCAATTTCTCGATTCTTCATACAAGAGATCATCTTCCTCTAATTATCAAAATCCACACCTATTGAAAAATTACGTGGTCGTTTCTCGAATAGAGGATTTTGTTCCTTCTTTGTTATTTCCGATTTCCTGACCATCGACGGCGGAGGAGCCACTCTTTTCTTGATAATTTTCTTTGAAGGCTGTAAACAAACTCAAGGCCAAAATATGGTAAAGATCATAAAAATGGTTTTCTGGAATTAAAAGGTTACCATTGTTTGAGTTCGTACTCAAACTATAACTGCTAGTAGTTCTGATAAATGGTGATTGAGAGGACAAAGGGTAGTATTTTCTCAACATTTAGTAGGTCATTGGTTAAAAAATTTTTAAAAAAGAAAAAGAACTACTCAAAAGGGAAACACCACACCAAGTAATGATAAAATGTACAAAAGTGATGGAAAATTATCATTTCAAGACTGTGACAAAAGTGCCAATAACAAAATCAAAAAATATTCGAAAAAGAAAAGAAAAAAAAAAAACATACCATTCCCACAGCAACGGAAACCTAAAAAGAAATCGAAAATGACCGTTCAACCAAGTGTCGTCCCTAATAACAAGTGAATAATACGGCCGCAGCTCGCTTGAGTGATAACAGTGAAAATTTAAAAATTTTTCGAATACATTTTGAGGATTGTAGAAGACTTGATAATTCTTTTGGGAGGAATTATGTATTACCAAGAACGCTCTCTATGAAGAATTGTACTATTGGTTCTGCTAATAGAGGAATTATTATATTCCTCTATTACACGCATTTACACCTACATCCAGCTTAGATCAACAACCTCGATAATGTGCAGATGGACAATGGAACTTCTCCGGAAGTGGAAGTATGAGATTAATAAAGTCTTGGAAGTGTTATTCAAAACTTGTATACTAATAAGTAGCCAGAAAAAGGCGACTGAGATTAAGGATTGCTTTCTTTAGTGTTTGACACAATTTGCAATATTCACTTCGTCATTAAAGTGTAAGTAAGTTGTGTCAGAGACTAAGAATGAGATAGCAAGAATGATAATATACAAAGTAAAATCATTCCCAAATAATAGCATTTTCAACAGAAAACAAAGTTTAGTTTTTTTAAATTTATAAGATAGCTTTTTTTTCTTCACAGGAACTTCTAAATTGCTCGTTAATTTAACGTGAATTTTTAATGGAGTTTCTTTTTAAAGCCTGGCTTGACTTAAAATAAGACATTTGGTAAAGCCTATGATTTAAATCACGTCTTTAAACGACTGCAAGTATCTTTAACATTTCTGCTTGCATTTCCTTACTCTTCTGGTTATTGTATTTCCTCTTAGTATGTTGTTACATTAAGAGTTTTTTATTTTTTTTTTCCTTTTTTTTTAATTTTTTTCTTTCTGTCGGTTGTTCAATCTAATTGTTATTGTGAGTTTTTTTTTCTGTTATATTTTCTGTTTCCTCTTCATGATTAAGCAAATATTATTTGAATAAGGAAAGGAAATTTTCAGGTGTTTAATCTTCATTTGACATGTACATTCATTCTGCAGAATCCCAGAATATCATGTCTAGCTATTTCATGAACCTTTTGATTTTCTAGGATTTCATATGCTCTTAAACTCACCTATTTTGAAATGAAAACAAGCACATTTCTGAAGGAATTTTTACTTGCAGATTACGCTCGATGACGCTAAAGAACCTACAGTATCTTTTTTCTAAAAATGAATCAGCGAAACTAAAATTCTCCGGTGATATTGAGGTTGTCTACTTATTGACTACTTTTTCATTGTTGTTCATTTAAAGTTTAAAGTTTTTGGTTAGATAAAGATGCTAACTTTTGTTATTTAAGATGAGTGTAATTTTCTAAGCTCTTTATATTTTCTTTTGCTACGGTAATTTCCATTGATTTCATGTCGCACTTTAATATTTCTTTACTGGAACATTTTTTAGATGCGAATTTTTTAACTTTTAGAATAAGATGTGAAATGAGTAAGATCAACTGCTATCAGAGTAAGATATGGAATGAATTAAATACTTTTCGAATAAAAGCAACGATGGAACGATTAATATTGAATCAAAACATGCTACTAAGCTTATAGGCCTATTATCGAAAGTGGATCTAGTGATACATCGAATAAGCTATCAGTGAGCTCTTATAGGAATCGCATATGGATCATTTCGTATGTGGAATAAGAAATAGTTATTAACGTATACTAACCTAGGAATCGAATATTGTTCTAGCAGTTGTTGCATTATTGTCAAATTTATTGTTTTGATTCGTTTGATTGATTGTGTGAGTGCCGACAGCTTTCATAATTAGCTGAATTAGAAGTCGCAGTGATACAATTATTTCATCATATATTAACAGTTGTTTCATCCATCGGAGTTGTCCGTTTTATGAGGAATTTCGTGATCTTAAGTTGAACATCCTTTTTCTTCTTCAGAAGTAAGCTTTTGAATTAATCTATACTTAATGATTTATGGGAATAATTTCGATTGTTATTTTTGATCATTTCTTATTTTCATTAAAAAAAACATACTCCTTGTTTTTATTAATGTTTGCAGTTACCACTGTTTATTGTTTTCATATGTATTTGATATATTTCATTTTTCCATACAGAAGATTCGCTGAAAGAAATAAAAAAGTAACATTGCCACTTAATGGATGTTAAATCAATATTCAAATAAATATTAATAAGGGAATAAATCAGGAAAATAGTTCATTATGCCTAACAGAAAACATCATTGCTTAAGACTTAACTTTCTCTCGGCAATACTATGTTAATTACGGCATTAATTTTCATAGAATTTACATGAACAGTAATTGCATTTGGTGAGTTTTTTTTTTTTTTTTTTTTGAACTTTGTCTTTAACTTTTTTGTCGTTTCTTATTTCTGCAAATGAAAACTTAAATTTCGTTTTTTAAATGTCCAAATTTGAAAGCATTTTATCAACCTATTATTTAATCTTTGATTTTAATTGCAACGAAAAGTGTTAGATGAATATGAAAAGTGTGAAGTATTTAAAAAATTTCAATTCAAGAAAGTTATGGAACACTTTTGAGAAGTAGTGAATGTCAATATTTCATTTGTCATTGTAACGACAATTGGAAAATCTGAAAACTAAAATCTAATCAATTGTTGAGTTTTGCATTTAACGTTTTACTAATGATGCTGATGGTGAACACAAGTAATTATCTTATATTGAAGTTTGAAGAAATTTTTTCCCACTGAAATCATTTTCGCATTTATATTTTCGAAATTTTTCGCTTTTAGTAATATCAATCTTTTTTTCTAGCTTCAAAACTGTATATTTCTTGAAACATTCAGAGTAGAGGAATAAGAAAAAGATGTGCGTATGTATAGAAAGAATTATGCATGCTAGCTTTTCCATTTTCATGTGAGAGCAAAAATAGGGGAAGTGCGACGTACTATGCTTCCGCATAAGTCGGCTGTTTTTCTCTTTTTCTTTTCAATGTGTGTTGGTTTTTTGAACTATTTTTTTTGATTGCGGGTAGCATTAAACAATTGTTAGAAAAGCCTTATATCAACTTTATGCAAATTGAAGGATGATACAGAGAAAAGAAAAGAAAGGCAAAAAGCGTGGGAATTTGGGATACATTTCTACACTCGTACTTCTCTTATCATTTGAAAAATCTGTAGAATTACTGATAGCTGTTCAAAATTTTTAGTTCCTTAAAATTTAGCTCACACGCCCCTACTTTCCTTTCCTATTTCCCTTTCAGATTTTTTTTTCGATTATGTAACTGAAAATTATCTTCAGTTTAAAAGATAGTTCTCCCTTCAATTCTGATTTATATTGAACTTTTCATTTATTTGGCAATCAAATATAAAAATCGTAGCTCTGTTATCAATTTTATGGATCATTTGGTGGTCTTTATCAGTAAGAGAAGCATTGATGGGTTATTATTATGTTGCTTTAGAATATCAACTAATAGTTTAGTTCCTCACTGGCTGATCAGTAAAAAATATGTGTAACGAGTTAGGTTATTACTCAATTAATTAATTATTTGATTAGTGAATAAATGAACCTGTCAGTCGGACGATAATAAATGACTTAGTAAGTGAAGAGGTTGATTATTTTAAAAACGATGTTGGAATGGTGCATTATGCAGTATTGTTTTTTTTTTTTGCCGTTGTTGTGTAAAAATATTTATATGTTCACATTAACACGTTGATGTTCAGGAAACAGAGAAAGAGTTAGGATAGGAGAGAGAGACATGCAGTGTTCCATCCAAAACATACCTTTTTCTCCTTTATTTAATTGCTTTTCTTTAAAGTGTTAATCTATTGCTCTTTGTAAAATGATTCTATTCCCTCTCCCTTCTACCTTAGTTTCTTCCTCATCATTCTTCTTTTCTTCCTTTCTGCCACATATGTACAATAATTCACTGACACTGTCATTCTTCGTTGTCGTTTTTTTTCTTTTTCTTTTTCACTACCTGTAGGGAAACATTTTTCAAAAGATAAATTTAAAATGTTAAAACAAAGAGAGGAAGTGGAGTCGTTGTAGTTGGTTCACTACTTCAGATCTATGTCATTTTGATGCCTTGAATTAATAAGAATAGTTAATATTTATAATCAAATTTAAATAATTGTACATTTGTTAAATTTGTTTCCAAGATTATAATAAATTTAAAATAAGTTTTCTTGTTGACTTCTTTTTCTAAATGTTGCCAGTCAGTCATTTTGTGCAGACTGATCTAACTTTACTTCAAAGTAGATTTATAATAAGGATGTATTCGGACAAGGTTCTCAGTACCTAATCCCTTCTGTGCATAACTGGCAAATGTAGTAGGATGCCTTTAACATTTAAATGTTTCATGAAGCATAGCTCTTTTTTTTTGCCAATTAAAATTTTCTGAAGTATTCTGAAACGAATATTTGTTTTTGTTTCTGTGTGAGATGGAATACAAGTGTTCTGTTTATATGAGAGTGTAAAGATTGTTATCCCGGAGTTTCAGCAGTTTGTAAAATTTGTTTTTATAATTACATCGAAATTGCCATTTTCATGAATTCAATAAAAACAGTCATTTAGTTTTTTCTGATATGCTAAACACCATTTAAATTAATTAGTTAATATGTCATTGGCATATAGACAAATGTGCTTTCAAGTTTTTTAATAAAATTTTGACTCGAAATAAGGGTAGAAAAAAGTTGTTTTAAAAGCTCTAGTAAGCAAAAGTGAGACAGTCTGTTCGTCAAGGAATTTCAGAATCATTAATCATTTTAGATCGGGTTTGGCAGGATGGGTATAGTGGTAGAAATAGAAAGAGTTCAATTTTTAACCTTGGTAGTGACAGCAATAGTGATAGTGATGTTGGTGCTCCAGGGATTGGTTCAGTTTTGGATGATATGTGAGGCTACAGCGACTACTGATTCTTATTATGTGTCATCCCCTTTCTCTGTTCGTTCTAAAAAGTTCCCTAGCCTATTCTTACGATGCTTTTAAGAAATTTGTCATGTTTTTGCTTTTTTTTTTCCTCTTGATGTTTTATTCTTAAGATTTTTTTTTTTAACGTTCAAGATTCCTTAAACCTTATCAGTTCTATTTTTTAAGTTTCCTATTTTTTTTTTTTTTAAGTTATAAACAGTAACTTGTTTTTTATCTTTAGTAATATTAGTACAAATTTACTCGAGGATTAATTTGACTGAATTATAATTCCCGTTGATGCTATATATATTAGTCAAGAGAGCTAGAAACTTTTCTTGCTTAAGATTTCTAGTTGCACTGCTAGTATCTCATGATTTGTTAGAATTGCTATAAGCACATCATGGTTTTTCTTCCAACTTAAAATGTGGGGAAAGTTGCGGGAAGCTTCTTTTGCAAAGGTTTTGATAAAACTATAAATATTATGAGGCAAGATAATAAAGAGGGAGGAGAAATAGAGATGGAGTTTTGGTTCCGGATTATGGGCCTATGAAATCAAATGAAGAAAGAAGCGTTGATGGATAGGAACAAAAATGGTGGGAGATGGTGATAATGATGATATGAAACAGATCACTTTATTGTGCAGATATAATGTCAAGGACAAATGAACAGTATATCAAGTAGACCACACCGTAGGTGGCGATCCTTCTACGGTGTTGTTGCTTCTATTTTAAATTTCAATCAGTTTGAATTTGGATTCAATTTGAATTTGCTCGAAATTCGAACTAATAAAGAACAAGCGCTCTTCCTGCGATATGATGGAATATATGATAACAGTTTGTCACTTAAGCAGTACATCTTCAAACTTTAATATGTTTATATTTAAATATAGCTATTTTAAAATGCAATTCTTCATTTTGGAGGTCGAGCAGTGAGGTCAGTGCAATGAATAGTTCACCTCACGTTAGTTATTTCATTTGATAAGCAATTTATTTAAATATAAATAAACGCTATTAATATACAAGGAGCGGTTTTATTCAATATATTCCACCAAATAAATTTAAAAATCTTTTGCAGGATTATGTACCTCATTGCTCACCGGCAGAACAGATGCCGAATATGATGCAAGTAGTTGCTGAGAATCGTCATTTCAGTATAGGTACGATGGTTTCCCCGAAATCGAGTCTCGATAGGCCTTCCGTTCCTCAACAACAACATCTTTTCAACACAATTGGTAATTCAACACGTCTTTCTCCAATTCAAGCCCAATCGATTCCTGCTTCATCACAAATGCCTTCACGTTCTGCTCAGGTGCCTCTTTCCCCCCCACTTTCTCATCATTACCAACAGCAGCAGGAACAACCTGCTTCAACTGGAAACGCTGATATTCCTTCTAATGCTACAAATGCGATGTTCCGTGTACAAATGTGGTCTAGCAATTTCGATAGTGGTATTCAATCTATGAACCATAGTTCGGTAGGCTATTTTATAAATTTCCTGCACTAATCTGAATAATTCTAAGCAGTGATATCAGTCAGTTCGCTACAACTCAGAATCCGAAAATTTAAAAAACTTAACCTGTTTAGTCAGTCGTATATCATTTTGGTAGAGTAGATGGTGAACTGTATTCCTAGTAGTTAAGCAAAAACAAAAAGAATTGTTGAGGTTTGAAAATTATTGCTTTTAGTCAAATTTAAAACTCTTTTATTTTATGGAACTTTGTATTTTGTTTAATAGTGATGAAAAAGAATTTAAAATTCTGAGCGCTGGAGCTATTATCACTATTTACTTCAAGGCACCATCAGTTTTATCCGTCAGTTCGTTACGCGCTGGATCGCAAATCTCCACTATGTCTGATGATGCACATTCACGAATTGAATTAACTGATCAGCAGCAAATAAAATTTGAAAATATATCGTCTGATTTAGAACATGGCTCACAAGACGGTGAAACACAGAATGCAGTTCCAGAACTCATACATTTACTTAATGATACTGATGAGGTTTTCCTTTTCACCGACATTTTTTTTTGACAAAATAATTATTGATTAAAGTTCTCTGAGCATCCTGGCCATTGGTCTTTGGTCTTCATTTATCTTTTTCAAGTCATTAGAAAAGTACTAATAGGTTCCTAATCGGATTTGCGAGAAAAAAAGAAGTTTAAGCAGATTTCTTTGAAATAATTGCAAAATTGTTATCACTTGAAAGAACGTTTTAGGTGGTAGTACAACGTGCAGCAACAACGATACAAACTATCGCCAAAATTGATTCCGAAGAACCACTTTATGCGGAACCTTATTTGCGAGCAATTGAAGTTATAACTGCTCTGAAAGATTTATTGAGAACGAAATCAAATAAACCGGTAAATACTGATCTGTTTCTATGTCGTAGTTGCTTGTTTAGGTTTCGAAAAGTAGTCAAATTTAGAGTCGATTTTCAAAAACTATCGTACAAATAAGATTAAAAAATTTCTCTAAAATTGACCATTTTTTTTTAATAAAACCATTCCAGAATCATGTGAAATAAGCGATAAATCAAATTGCATTCTTGTTATCAAACATCAAAGAAGAATATGTGGCATTGTTTTTTTTTTACAGATATGATTTATATTCCTTTTTGAAATTTCTTGCTTCTAGGCTATCATTAAACCAACGCTTGGTGCTTTGTTTCATATTTCTGAACGTCATGACGGTCTAGAAAATATTTTAAAAATAAATGACCAGACAAAAGGGTCCCTGCTAATCGATATTATTGAACACATTAAATTTACGTAAGTTTCATGATCATAGCAAAATTTTTTCTTATCACTTCGGGTACTATTAGAACTTCTAAATTCGATGGCTGATCTACGTAAATTATGTTACAAAGTCAGGGGCATTTGTTCCTTACTTTGTAGCATAATCAGCTGAGAAAAATCAGAAACATTTCTGCTGTTTTTCAGCGGTGGTTCAGCCTTACGTTACGCAATCTTAACGTTTCATACTATTATTGCTGTGAAACCAGCTGATGGACACAATATTGAAGTGGCTCGGACCAATGGCGCACTTCAGGCTCTAACTCAATTTCTCGATCGTGAAAGTAATGAAAAGCTTCTTTCAGTAATTGTTGAATGTGTGCGATTGCTTTGTGATAAAAGTCAAACGCAAAGGGTTAGTATTTGATATAACTGGTAACTCTACAATCAAATTTTTTCTGCCAAAAATCATTGTTTTTTTCTTTTATAATATAAATTTTGTCTCTCGAATTTAGATTATCTAATCCCTAAGATTTTTCTGAAAAGTTGCCTCAAAAAATTTGGCACTTTGAATATTACCCAATTCGAAATAAGTGAAATCATAGAAATTTTAAGCCATAGAAAATTTTTCTTTAATAAATGATTTCCAATAAAATTTTTTCTTTAGTGAAAATATAAGTGATCTTTATTCCGATATTTAACCAGGTTTGTAAGCAGGAAATTCGGACACAAATTTTGCAATTAATTGGGTTGGAAAAAGTACAAATTACACTTTGTGGAGTTTTTATTTTCTTTCTCATTTTCGAGATTTCAGGCATTATTTCTGCAGTTAAACGGTCCATCCAAACTGCTTTATATATTGCGTGTGTTATGCTATGAAGGTTTACTCTGGAGAACTACGCAACTTTTGAAAATTTTTTCCAATGGAGTGAGTCTTCATGATTTTTCAGCACGAATTACAAGGTTTAATTTTAAAAGCCTTAATTTTTTGGTGATTTCAAATTCGGTATTTTCTTTCTTCGATTAATAATAAAGTTAAATTCTTTCCTCAAGTCTTTCAGTTTTAGGATCCTCAAGCAATAGTGAAGAGTGGTGGCTATGATGTTCTGCATAAACAACTTGAACATGCCAGTCAGCGGTTGATTATTTCAACTTTGGAATGTATTAGGAATATGTCCGATGTACCCACCAAAGATATGATGTTTCACCTCTTCTTAATAAACTTCTGCAGTTTTTAGTTTCACTTTTTTTTTTTCAACTGGTGATTAACATGTAATGCATTAATAGTCTGTGCTAAACGTAATTTGTATTTTCAAAACTTTTTCAAGACATGCTTCATTGACTGAATTTGTTGCAGCATTTCTTGTGTTATATTCAATTCACTTACAAAATTATTTTTAGGTGCAATGGATCCAATTGTTATTTGTATTGTACTGGAATTTTATCGAATCTGTTGGCCAATAACCAAATGAACAAAGAATTTTTATTTAGTCGAGGAGCAATAGTCAAAACACGATACAAACAGCTTTGTATCGTGTTTTGATTAGTTCGTATAGCATACCAGCAAGCGCTCCAAATCAACAGCAAAGAGTGGAAGATATCCAGGTAATTTTTCTAAAATTTTTATGCTATATGGCTTTTTTTCAGACCAAAGGCACTTTTGTTGGGACATTTCTTTTCTTGAATTTTTGTAGTTTTTTACTATTTGAAAAATTAAACTATTAGAAAAAAAATTTTTTTTTTTAAATTAAAGGTTAAATTTAGATATGTTAAGGTAGTGGTCCTTTTTACATTAACACATTTATTGTAATGCATTAGATTACTCTTACGAGAAGTACTGATTGTAAAAATACAATAACTATTAAGCATTTAATGCATACTATCGGCCCTAAAATTATCTCAGTTCTTTTAGGAACGTGGATTAGCAACATTGCGTCAACTGTGTGTCGGACATACTCATCAAGTAGAAGCACAAAAAGCTGTCCTTCAGCAACAGTACGCTGCTGACTTTTTACTCCGAAAACTTACTGAAATGAGGCCTTCTATTCTGAAGCAGACTCTCCAGGTTGAGATTTTAAATTCACATTTTTAGATACTGCTCTTTAACTTTAGCCTAGTCCATATTTGTATGTTATTTAGGAATAACTAAAATCAAGCTTGTGGATGTCTTATTTCAACGGAACTGGTATATTTTGGAGTAGAATCAGAACTTACTGTAATCACTTTTTTCCCACTCTTTGTTTAGTTTGTAGATATATAGATAGTGATTTTACATTTCAGTCATATTTCAGATATTGAATAAAGCAGCTTTGCAAGATACAAACCTTCTGTTTCGTGAAATTCGTCTGAAGCAGGTAGCTGATTGCGAGACGAATTTTATGGAGCGTATCGCATTGATTCTAAAAGTTGCATGCGACCAGTTACCATTGGTAAAACATTTGAGCCCATGGTTTCTAGTCAAATTTCGATTTTGAATTATTCTGAATACTTTAAAGTGAAATGGATTAGTTAGAAATATTTTACTGTTCAAAAGTGAAGGAACAATAAAAAAAGAAATGGAAAAGATTCTGCATTGTATTTCTTTTCGCTTTTAAAGTATTCGATTTTTGAATTTGTTGTTTGCAGACAAAAATACTGGAAGAGGTACGCGTTGCAGATCTCATTCAATTATCATTGTCCACTCTTCAGCTTCTATGCCGAGATTCAGTTCTTCTGAATCAGGTTTGTCTTTATAGTTTCTGTGATCCGAATAGCACTATTTTTTGATATTCATTTTTGTCTACAAAACAAAAATGTAAACTTGCAGATATCATATTGTATTAGAAGGTCTGATTTCCTAATGTTTCGCGATCGAGATGGTGACTGTGCAACATTGCTACCGGTGTTTTGTTTATATCAGAATTATGTGAAGGATGAAAACTTGAATAGAAGTGCACTTGGTCTTATACATGAACTTTCTTCTCAGTCTGAAGTTAGTGTTACATTTTATTTTCTTTACCGAAATAAGTTAATTGGGCATTCATTTAGCTCAAAATTTGTGAAGACGACATAGAAATTTATCAAAATATTTTTCAGTTGGTTGCATTATATACTGCAGATAGTGGCTTGATGGCAGCTTTACACCATTATTCACAAAGCCGTAACCAATCTTTTGGTAACTTTATATTGCTTCAGAAATGAAATATCGAATTTGAAATCATTATATGAGTACCTGAATAATGAACATGTTTAGTATGACAATTAAGAAAATTTATAATTGTATGCTTCTCAAGAGTGAAATTACTTGAGTATTTGACTATTTCAATGAAATGAACTAAGAACGCTGGATGTATGTATATGTATGAAAAAAAAAAATACTTATATTATTACAGCAAAGTATGCCAAACAGGCTTATGAGCGCAGCGTGCAAGGTGGGGGATCCATCAGTTCTTTATCAGAATTTCTCTTTGCCATCTTCATCTCATCGTTTGGTTTTACATTCGGCGCAGCTCGGTGGGCAGCCAAATGTACCGTGCAATGGGCAACAAATTCAATATCCTCAACAAAACTGTGGAGCCAATAATTCTTACAATACGATATCACCATCTGCATCAGTAGTACTTCGTTATCCTTCTTTGCTACCTCAACAAACTCCATTATCAACACCTACATCTTTAACTTCATATTCTAACTTGGGGGGCGCTGGCATTCACGCGCAATCTCAGGTATATCTTGTCCAATAATTCAAATTTTCAAATAAAATGTAGTGAGAAATTTCAGTTTTACGCTTATTTAAATGCAGTTTTTTTTTTTTTTTTTTCACAGTGAAATTATTTTCATTTAGTCTTTTTCTTTTTTTCTATAAGAATTGTTGTTTGGTTCCAATTTCTTAAACCTCTTGTTAGTCCTTGTTTGACTGTTAAATATTCTTCCAGGCATGTTTCGAAGCGATTAACTGTTGAAGGAGATTCTGCCATTTGCAAAAAATATGATCCTTCTGATTTTATTTTAGACTTCGTCACCTCCTCAACAGCAAGTATCTTCTGATAATCAGGCAGTTATGTATGGTCGTGGAGATCCATCGCAAAACACCGGTAGCACATCCAATAACAATAACATGGAATATTCTTTAGGAGAAGTGTGGTCTGAGGTTTCTTTGATGAAATTTTTGACTAAACTGCGATGATAATACATTTCCTGACTTTTTGTATTGTTTTGAAAGTTTTTGACTTAACTGCACATTTTCATTTTGAAATAAAGCTTTGTTTTGTTTTGCAAAGTGAAGTCAGTCTTTAAATTAAAATATATTTCATTCAGCTGAATACCTATTTATTCCTTAGGATCTTTCTGGTCTTTCAATAAGTGACGACCCATTCGCAACTATGTTCACACAACATTTCGATTTACCTCAACAAAGACATCACTTGCGATCGACATATCTCTCTGGTCTCATTTATGAAATGATTTCTTAAAAACCAGATGCTTGTTTTGTATCCTATTTAAAATTTTAGAAATCAGTCTTGCTGAAATACATACTGTTAACATTTCATATTAATCATTCTTTTAAAACACAACAATTATCTCTTCTATGATTTCTGCCAATTCTTTTGCTCCAGCATTGTTTTTTTAATTTCAGCTCGAGGGAATTTCAGCCCCTTGTTAAATGCTTACTGCTGTCCTGGACCATCGAGTACCAATATTACCGATCAGCTGATGGAAAGTTATGTTCATATGGGCAGTCCCGATGCTCCAGCTTCTTGGAACGATCCGATGAATAACAGTAATTTCAGTGATTTCCAAATGTAGCATATCTCCGAGTAACAGTTGTATAATAACTGGTTTCAAATTTAGTGCTTGAATTAAATTTGTTTACTAATGAAATGTTCATAATATTTATTGCTTAAGCAGTAAGCCTCGTAGTTACATCATAAGTTTTTTAGTGTTTTTTCAGTACCTATGCTTTTAAGAAAGGATTTTTATATTAAATATATAAAAATTTTATGTATCTTATACAGTTTAATTTTGCTTTACGTATATGCTCTATTATCGATAGATAAATCACTTCTGCGGTATTGTGAGATGAAAGTGAGGTAAGGCCTATTTAACCTGCTATAGGAAAGTTATTGAACCGTAACGTTATTGTTAGCTGTCATAGTTGCAATTTTTAGGTTTGTTAGGTAGAGTTGTGTCATGTGGGGGTTTTATTAATAGATTTCTTTCATTTCTTCTCAGCAGTTCACAAAATTTGGTCTCGAAATATTAAAAGACGTGGTTCTAAAAATATTAACAGTTTTAATAGTTAAAACTAATCTGATGACATTCGCAGATTTTTCTGAAATTGTTTCATTATAAATTTGTTCCATTAAAAAGCAAACACTGTGGACAATAAGTGGACTGAAATGTTAAATTTATTATTGTAAAGAAAATGGATTTTATGTGTTGCACATATTGCATAGAATCATATCGCATCACTTTTGTTTTCAATGGTCATATTCATTTGAGTTTTTGCGTCCATTCAAGTTAATGTTTTAGTTGCCGTGTCCAATATCATCCTTTTTCGTTTTTAATGATCATAGATTACAGTGGTTTGCTTTTAGTTAATATTTTCAGGAAGGGAGTGTTATTAAGTATGATGTTTTTATTTCGAGAAGTACGCTAAGTTAGCAGACCATAGTGTTAGTTTAATTGTGAGTGTTTTGTGTGTATTAATCCATTTTCTCTTTTTTATAGAGCTGATGAAATTTGAAAAGAAAGTGAATGTATTCTTGAATATGTAAATTAGATAAAGTGGCGGTGATTTATTTGGTGTACTTTATTCTTTTTTATTCCATCCGTCTCGCTATGCATTTTGTGCGGGTTTTTGTCATGCTCATCAGCTGAGTTCGTTTGTCTTTTGCCCTTTCCTTTCAAGCAAATCGTAAAATAAGATTGAAAATATTATTTCTTAGGAAAGCCAGAATATTTCAGCGAGATCTTTGATAGAAACCAGTACTTTTTAGGTGATCGCTGGTTTCTGTGCTTTAGTTCTAGAAATTATTCAACTTTTTTTAGCCGACTGGAAATTTGTTATTCACCTTATGCATATGTTAAGTTCTGAGCGAGTAGCAAGCGCATTGGGTTTCAGCAAAGAAGAGTTTAATTTATGTTATCAATTTATATCTGGTGGAAGATTTATGCGCACTATCCTGTATTTCTTCACTGTAAACCGATTTGCTCAAAATGTTCTTTTTTTTTTGTGTATGTTTTTGTGTATATTTCCGCAAATTTTGCAATAATGTGAAGATTCTTTCTTCTGTAGCTATGGCAATTGATTCTGCTAATTGATTATTCAATTATTCAATTTGCTCATTATACAGCTTATATTTGTCATTGTCGTTAGTTACATGAATGTCATAAAAGTTTTTACTGTTGTGTTTATATCAGTGAGTATCAAGGAGTCATTAAACTTCACACTGCTCACTGAAATTATGCAAGCTAATGTTTCAAATCACTGAAGACATTTAAAGTTTAGGGCTGTGATACTTGTGTTACATGGTATCTACTCATTTTATAGTTTCAAAAGTGCGTTATTTTAGACAGGTACTAAAAAGCCTTTTGAAGATAATCTTTGGGTAGCCTATATTCAGTGGCCTGTTTCCACTACTTTGATTTGATGGATGAAGTAAGAGAAGGGAATAAAGTGTCCATAGAGCGTGTGGGCAAAGTTAGAACTTTGGTGGTGAAGGTTTGAGTTATATAATGACCGAAAAGGTGAAACGTTAACGTAGCCTTCTTCGTTATTCTGCTACACACATAAATGAGCCAAAAATCAGTGGCCTAAGCTTTCCAATGATATCGCTGAGAGTATACGCAAAGTTTGAAATCACAATCACGTGGAATCCACCGTCACTTTGTCCATACGCTTAGTAGACATCTGCTTTCCTTCTGCAATCCAGAATTAAAGTAGTCCAGTAAAAACAGGCCTACTCGGACATTGCTTAAAAAGCGTCCGTCTAAAATAACATTCGCTTGAAATTATCAAATGAGTGGATATTATCGTACGTCGCGTGAAATTGACTTCCGATGATTGGAAGTGTTCTGCGTTGTTTTTGTCTGTAACACACGGAAATGGACGATGCTATCAGTGAAGCATTTTATAAAATAATTCAACTGATTTCAAAGTGTCCATCCAGTTTAACTTCTAGAGTAAATTAGACAGAGAAGTATTTTCATTTGAATACTACATCAGGGATTATTTGCACGAAAGCATTTCGAATTTTGAAATTTATATATATTTTAAAAATAGTAGAAATCGTTACTATGAGAGTATTATCAAAAATCAAGAAGAAATTTTTTTTTTTTTTTGAGTTTTTTTTTAGCAGAAATCTTTATTTTTGTTTCGGAGACTAAGTATTAGGAATTTTTGAATGAATGTGTACCTTTATCTAAATTTAAATTCTCCTTTCTTTACATATATGTTTGTGTGTATGGATATGTATGTATGTGTTGTATGTATGCATATATGTGTGTGTATGGATGTATGTATGTGTGTGTGTGTGTGAGTGTATGTCGAACTATAAGTGAAATGTGTGAATGATTATCTTAGCAACAAATCTGGTGTTCTTTACGATGGCTAGTTGCAATTCCAAGAATTGAAGGGAGCAAACGAAGCAAGAGAGTATTGTAAAAGCTGCAGAAGCATAAATAATTTTCTTTTTTTTTGAGATTCTTAAAAGATTGTGTTTATCTGTCTGTTTGCTTGTCAGTCTGATCGATACTATGTGGAAGAGTAATGTTAAGCTTAACTTCATTGTTGTTCTTAACTTTTACAACAAAACATCTCTTTGCTCGAGAGATTCAAACTCTTCCATCTCAAATCATATTCCATCTACATTTTCATTTCAATAAATAGTAAACTAAGCTAACTTCACTTTCTCTAACCATTCACTCTACAACAAAGAGATCCATCCGGAAAGCTCATCAAAATTTTACTTCAGCAAATGCAATCGCCAATTTATACACTATCAAAAATACAAAGAATTTAAAGGCTATTTATAATAATTGTAATTAATAATAATAATAATAGTAATAAGTAGTAATAATAATAGCAATAATAATAATAATAAATATAATAATGATAAATAATAATAAATATAATAATGATAAACAATAATAATAATGATAATGATAGTAATAGTAATAATAATAATAGAATTTTTAAATGATCACACATCTGCTCACTAATCAATCCAATCAATCGATTAAAATCTAAGACAGTTTAAGAATGCTTATGCTCACGGTTTGGTACTGTAACGTTCTAGAAATTTAAATCTGGAAGAGCAATTTAGTATTATAAAATCAAACCAAATTTGTTGTGCCATCTTTCATTTAATATCGTTTAAGGAGGGAAAAGTTTCCAGCATATTAAATCTTTCAAAAAAAAAAAAAAAAAAAAACGGTGAAACTAGGCAATATTTTCTTTCACTTTTTTATAACAATGATAATAATAATGGCAATAATTATCAATGGTTTATGATGCGCTTCTATCAATTTTACTAAATCTAAGAAATGAAAGTAACGTGGTTTACGTGTACAAAGTAAAGTTGTAAGAAGAGAAAAAAATTGCACACAATCTCTGTACTTATTTGTAGAATTTATGATTTTCATGAATTTGATTATTTTACATTACATTCCATTTTATATTCCTTCTTATAAACACATTCAGGTAATGATGAAAAGGTAAAATTAATGAAATGCAAATATCACTCACAAATAATTTGCTGAAAGTATTTGATAATTAAATTGAAGCAAAGTGCAAACAGTTAGTGTTATTTTCATGGATATATATTATTTCAAATGTGTAATTACTGGGTTATATTTTAAATTTATTAAAATATTTTTTTTTTTTATTGGCCGAAAGTCTGAACTTTGAATATTTATTCAACTAAAATGTATATTTGTAATGAAAATTAAAGTAAATATTGTTGAGCAGTTGCGTAATATTACATATATTCAAAACATTACACATTAATGATTAAACTTTTGCGCAATTAATTTATATTTTTGATACAAATATGAAATAGTATAAAGTATAAGCTAGATAAATTTAAGTTGAAAATATTTTTCAGTAATTACAAGTATTAAAATTCACAAAATGATTTTTGAATAAAATACAAATGTGAAATTAATTTAGGCGCTGTTATTTCTTACAATCTATCAACAGATGTTGTTCACTTTTCGACAAGATCTCTCATCAACTTATTACTTAAGAATTCACTGAGAGATCGGAAAGGAAATAGTAGTGAAGAAAATGTTAAGATTGGTTAGTCTCTTGTACCTGTTATATATTCCCTCTTCCTTCTCTCTTATGCATAATTTTTAAAAGTTACTTCGTTACTGCTACACTCTCTGTGTTCCTTTTGCTGTTAGCGCGTGGCGCATATCTCCACATTCTATCATCTCATACCACCTCCATCCAATGTTCCTTGCGCAGCTCTCAATTCATTCTAACTCATTCATTTCAATCATCTCCAACAAATCTGAATATACTGTTCAACTATTTAAATGCATTTACAACAGACAGACACAACATACACATACACACAGACAAGTACACACACACACACAGACAGACACAATGATGATCTGTAAAGCCTGTATAAAAGAAGTTAGCTGTTGATCCGTGGCATTCCGTTTAAGTGTTGCGATAGAATTTAGCGATTATCCATAGAGTCATTTCTGAACATTTGCCACAACAATTAGTTTATTATTTGATAGTTTAACTACATTTCATTTAAACCAAATAGCTAAACACTATATTATCAATT